CATGTGAGCGCTTCGGCTGACATGGGGTCGTTATGGGGCGCGGGGGCGACCGCTGAGAAGTTCTTCCCTCCAGGCTGGCTAAGCTCTGAAGACCATGGGCTGATAGATGAGGTCGGGCTTGTGGATGGCTTTGACGCTGCCCAGGTCCTTTTGCAGAGGGCTATGGACATTATGGGCCACTGGAAGCCTCAGTGGTCCAAGCAGCAGGAGGACCTAACCAGACTGAGGGGCCGAGTTCAACCTCTGAGGGATGAGAACAGGGTCCTGAAGGGGGAGAATAAGGTCCTTAAGGAGGAGAGCAAGGTCTTAAGCTCTGAGCTGCGAGCCGCAAGGGGGGATCTTGCAAGGGTGCAGAAGTCCCTGGAGATTGCTCTGCGCTCGAATAAAAGCTATGCTTCTCAAGTGGGCGAGCTGCAGGGGCTGGCCTCCTCATCCCGTTGGAAATTTATATAATGAAGTGGAAAGGCATATAGACAGAAAGGTAAAAATTTTTAGGTCAGATAGAGGTGGTGAGTATTTTGGAAGATATGATCAGAGTGGACAACATCCTGGTCCATTTGCTAAGTTCCTTGAAAAACGTGGTATTTGTGCTTAATACACAATGCCAGGTACACTACAACAAAATGGTGTTTCGGAAAGGCGTAATCGAACCTTAATGGATATGGTTAGGAGCATGTTAAGTAATTCATCTTTACTTGTATCATTGTGGATGTATGCTTTAAAAACAACCATGCATTTGTTAAACATGGTTCCTAGTAAGGCAGTTCAAAAGAAACCTTTTGAGTTGTGGACAGGTAGGAAACCTAGTTTAAGACACCTACATGTTTAGGGTTGTCAGGCAGAAATTAGAATATACAATCCGCAAGAAAAGAAATTGGATGCAAGAACAATCAGTGGGTATTTCATTGGTTATCCAGCAAAATCAAAAGGGTATATGTTTTACTGTCCTACCCATAGTACAAGAATTGTTGAAACTGGAAATGCCAGGTTCATTGAAAATGGTAGGTTCATTGAAAATAGTGAAACCAGTGGGAGTGAAACTTCACAAGATGTGGAGATTAAGGAAGTTAGAGTACAAGTTCCTTTAACTAGTGCTTCTACTTCAAGAATTGTTGTTCCTCATGTTGTTGAACCAAACAACAATCAAGAAGAACAATAAATTAATGATCCCGTGGTTAACAATGAACTTGTAATAGAACAACCACAAGAAATAGTATTAAGAAGATCTCAAAGGGAAAAGAGATCTACTATTTCAAATGACTATGTGGTTTATCTACAAGAGTCAGAGAATGACTTAAGCATTGATAATAATCCAGTTTCATTTTTTAGAAGCTATTAATGGTGATAATTCTAAAAAATTGTTAGATGCCATGAATGATGAGCTTAAATCAATGGCACAAAATGATGTATGGGACCTTATGGAATTTCCTGAACGGTGCAAGAGAGTTGGGTGTAAATGGGTCTTTAAGACTAAGCGTGACTTCTACAGCAATATCGAACGACACAAGGCTCGACTTGTTGCCAAAGGTTTTACTCAAAAGGATGGCATTGATTATAAGGAAACCTTTTCTTCGGTTTCTAAGAAGGATTCTTTAAGAATTATCATGGTATTAGTAGCTCATTATGACCTTGAGTTACATCAAATAGATGTTAAAACTGCCTTTTTGAATGAGAATTTAGAAGAGAATGTTTATATGGACCAACCAGTGGGGTTCATTGAAGAAGGAAAGGAACACATGGTGTGTAAACTTAAGAAATCAATATATGGACTTAAACAAGCTTCTCGACAATGGTATATTAAGTTCAATGATACTATTATGTCCTTTGGATTTAAGGAAAACACTATTGATTGGTGCATATATCTGAAGGTTAGTGGGAGCAAGTTTATATTTCTAATTCTGTATGTTGATGACATCTTGCTTGCAACTAATGATCTTGGTCTATTAAGTGAGACTAAGAAGTTTCTTTCTAACAACTTTGAAATGAAAGATATGGGTGAGGCAGGCTATGTGATAGGAATAGAAATATTCCATGATAAATCACAAGGACTGTTAGGCTTGTCTCAGAAAGCCTATATTAATAAAGTTTTAGAGAGATTCAGAATGGATACATGTTCAGCATCTCCCGTTCCAATACAGAAAGGAGACAAATTTAGTCTTATGCAATGTCCAAAGAATGATTTGGAACGGAAATAGATAGAAAATATCCCTTATGCATCTGTTGTTGGGAGTTTAATGTATGCTCAAACATGTACAAGGCCAGATATTAGCTTTGCAGTTGGTATGCTTGGTAGATACCAAAGTAATCCGGGATTGGATCATTGGAAAGCTGCAAAGAAAGTCTTAAGATACTTGCAAGGGACAAAGGATCACATGCTTACTTATAAGAAATCTGATCATCTTGAGGTGATTAGATATACAGATTCATATTTTTCCGGTTGTATAGATACAAGAAAGTCTACATTTGGTTATGTGTATCTTTTAACCGGAGGAGAAATTTTATGGAAGAGTGCGAAGCAGTCAGTCATTGTTGCATCCACTATGGAGGCTGAATTTGTGGCTTGCTTTGAGGCCACAATTCAGGCTAATTGGTTGCAAAATTTTATTTCGGGACTTGGAGTAGTTGACAGTATGGCTAGGCCGCTGAAAATTTATTGTGATAATTTCACAGCTATTTTCTTTTCTAAAAACGACAAGTATTCCAAAGATGTTAAGCATATGGAATTGTAATACTTTGCCGTTAAAAAGAAGAAGTTCAAAAACAAAGAGTGTCAATAGAACATATTAGCACTAATCTTATGATTGCTGACCCTTTAACAAAAGGGTTACCGCCCAAAGTATTTACTGGCCATGTAGAGAATATGGGCATTATGTCAACTAGTGAATGTTGAATGTTAATGTTGTTATTAATGCCTATTTGACACTCTGAGCTCGTTTAATATATAAGTTTCTGAAATTTGTGTTTTCTACTTTATGTATATGCATGCAAATTATGATGTGGAAAACATATTATGTGTTTATTAATGAAAAGTGACTTTATGTTTGAACTCATTATGAACTTCTCATTTTACGTCAAGGAGAAGGATAATATAGTAGTACATGGAAGGAAATGTGTTGATTGAATGACATGTAACCGCCATGACTCTTATTATTTCTGTATCTTTAATTATGATTAAGATGGAGCCAATTTATCTAAGGTCTTTAATGCGCATTATGATTTATGTAATTATTAAATCATGAAGTGTTATGACATCACATAAGTCAAGTGGGAGAATGTTAAAAAATATTAAATAACACTATAATGTGACTCATGTGAATTAAGAGCTTAAACGTGATTTAATAAAATAAAAGGACTTATTGGAAAATATGGGAAGTTATTATTTTCAAAATTTATAACCATTGATAACTAACTTGATGGAAGTTAGTTGAATAAGAGGAACTATTTGGGTTCTATCTCTGTCATATGAAACAACTCTCATTGTTTTACCATCAAAGAAAGTGATGTGAGAATATGGAGCATGGAAAGAGATAGATTGGAAAAACGTGATTGAAGAACTTATTCTCATTACTATTGTCATGGATCAAGGTAAGTCTCTCTTACTATTATAAATGTATGTGGGAATCATAAATTCTAAGATCCTTATGATATGCTGTAGTTTTCTTAAATCATGAATGATATATGAAGGCTACAACTTACAAGTTAAGTATATAGATTGCTTACATGATATATAATGATGAGTATTTTAGTTCATTGTATATTGATTTATGATGAAGTATGATGATGATATAAGTTGTTTAAAGTTGAGATTAGTTGTTGTCTGGAATTATAAGTTTTTAAGTGGTATGATACATGTGAAACATGTTTCTAAGTAGAGTTGCATAAAAACTAGAGGAAAGAAAAATTGTTTTTGAAAATTTAGATATCCTATTGTGCGGATATCCATTAAAGTGCTTAAGAAAGCCAAAGTTGAAAATATTTTAATAAGTAAGTTGTCTCCCGAATGAGAAGTTATTTTAAGTTGTTTCTTCTAAATTTTTCAGTTGAAATGATATGGTAGAGGTCAAAGTATGTTTTTCATAAGTGACCATTGAGTAAAGTACAAGATCGCATAAAAAATTCTAAAAGTACTAGACAGGTGTACAGTATTTGGAGTGACTTTCTACCTCAACGATGTCTATCACGAGTTGAATAGCATTGAATATGGGTCAAGTAAAGACTGAAGAATAACGTCGAGTGTGCAATTAATGACACTAATCTTGATATACACAAGGCCTCCCTATCTCATTCTCCTTGGACACAAGTGATTTGGCATTGGGCATGGTGATTTAGTTTCTTTCACCATCAATATTGTCATTGCCATCACCATTGTGACCTCCACGTGCGAACCAGAATGAAAGTCCTTGATTCATCATGATATCCACTTCCCGTCAACCCGAATGCCAGGGACGTGGGAAATTTTAGGCCAAATTTGCGGGTGCTTCATCTTGCACCGTTCTTCCAGCAAAGGACTTTGAAACACTTGGAATTTGGCAAGAGATAGCGGCAAACTTCCCTCCATATTCTCCAGCTTGGGACAGTATTCAATTGTCAACTGTTGGAGGGATGCGTGGCCGAGAAGCTCCTTGCAGTTCAACATCTCCAGATTCGGCAGCTCACACAAATGCAGAGTCCTCAAAGAGGGAAGCTGAGGCACCAAACCCTCCTCTGGAATGACTTCACGCTCTCACAGAATACACCACCAATGCTAAGAAAACTGAGACCCAAAGCCTGAGACGTGCCCATTGATGATAGGCCCCTCAATAGTTTCTCACAATTCAGGATCACAAGTGCTTCCATCTTCGGCGGCAAACCCCCTTGCGGAAACGAATCAATCTCTGGGCAATCACTTATTTCCATACGCTTTAACTTCGGGAGAAGGGTTTTCATGTCACGAGGCAATGACTTCAACTTGTCGCATCCCATCACCGTGAAGTAATTCATGTTGGACGCAGTCAATCCTTGTTCGGGAAACGACGTGAAGTTGGGGCAGTCACGGATGAAGAGTTCGTCGAGAGCGGAATCTCGCCACCGTGGCATCGAAATAGATTCCAAATTTCTGCAGCCTTTCAATTCCAAGATCTTGAGACTAGGAAACGCCTCCAACGAGAGCCAAGTGAGTGAGTCGCAGCTCTTGTCCAGTTCCAATGACTCCAGCGAATTGTGTTGCTGCTCGTGCTTTAGGAATTCTAGTTTTTCACAGTTCAAAATTTGACATTGTTTCAAGCATTTTGGTAAACAGTTTAAGGACAATGATATGTCCGAAGAACAATCTGAGATGCTTAAAAATTGGAGACTAGTTGGTTGGTGGATGGCTATGGCCTTAAACACGGACTCCACGAGCTCACATCCTCCAACTGATAGAGACTGCAGTGAAATTGGTAACTCTTGTGATTGCAACACTACTCTATGACTTTCATCTATCATTAATTCGCAAATTGCAGGAGCCATTGGGAGAGAAGAAATAAGATTCACACATTTATGAATCTCAAGTGTTTCTAAAGCAGGAAGGTGATTAGGCAAATCGCCTGTTAACATGGGACAATCAAATATTGTCAACTGCTTCAGTTGAGGAAAAACATTGTCGGGTTCTATTGAATGCCACGCCTTCCAGCATGGCATTCTACCAAATGAAAGACACTCCAAGCAAGGAAAGGGTATTTCCAATGAAGAATGATGATCATTGTCATTCTTGTAGAACTCAGCACCAATTGTTTCCACCCCATTAAAATCTTGGATCTCTAAGAACTTGAGTAGCGGTAGTTGTCCAAGTGAAGGAAGCATACAACAATTGCTACATGAAAAGAGAATTACACGAGTCATGTTGTGGTACGAAGAATGCCCTACCCAATGTGGAAATAATGTGCCCCTGTAAGTGTTGATCGATAGAACTTTAAGGCCTTTGTGCGGTTGTAACTCTTCAAGTATTTCTCTTTCAGTGATTGTGGAGGTTGTAACTAAATCAACACCCGAAGACCATTCCAAGGATAAATCTTTGATGTGTGTCTTATACATTATCCTTGCCTCCCCAGCTTCTCCACCATCGGTAATATTTTCTAATTTCCTAATCCATAGGGATCCATGAAGATTTGAAAGTTCTCCTAGTTCTTTGATGCCATTCTCTTCCTGCTTTCCCACTACAAAGTAACTTAAAACCTGCAAATGTTTTAATTTGCTCATTCCTTGAGGCATCACTTCTAAACTAGTTCCCCTTATATCAAGATGTCGCAAGTTCTCAAGATTTTGCATCCCACTTGGCAGCATAGTCAGCTTAATACATTCTAACAGCTTCAATGTCTGTAGATTGAACAAGTTACTCAATGATTCTGGCAATGTTTGTATACTTGTCTTTGAGAGGTCCAAGTAACGCAGATGGATTAATTCACCAACTAAATCAGGCAATTCTTCAAGTTCCCGACAGCAGGAAAATGACAAAACTCTTAGGTACTTGAATTTTGATAATATGATCAATGCTGTGCTTTCAAAGCTGAATGAAGGGGGTGAGAATTTGATTTGCAGAAATGTCCTCAAAGTTTTTAGTTCAACAATGGCATCAAAATTTTTTGAGATCGGATGACTCAAACTCCCATATGACAAATGATGAGTGTGGAAATTAATCTTGTCTTCTCTCCCAAGTTCTTCTGATCTAAAATAAAAATCTCCAGCAAGAGATATTGCTAAGTCATTTATGAGATCGTGCATCACAAATGTCTGATCATCATCTGTTTTAAATTGCTTCAAAAATAATCTAGAAGCCAAATCATCAAAATACTCAGAACCAACTTCTTCTATAGTCTTTCCTCTCTTTGGTTGCTCTAAAAGATCTTCTGCCATCCATAGTAAGATTAATTCATCTTTAACAAATTTATAGTTCTTGGGGTACAAAGAACAATAAACAAAGCAACGTTTTAGATGTGAAGGGAGATGGTAATAACTTCTTCTCAAAGTTGGAATGATTACAGGGAATTCCCAAAGTTCCTTATCCAGTATAGTATTCCAATCCTTGATATAACGTTTTGTCCGTAATTGGCCTCCAAGTGTTTGTGCCGCTAAGGGTAACCCCTTACACTTAGTAACAATTTCTCTACCAATTTTTTCTAGAGTTGAATTCCCATTAGATTTTGGAAAACAAGCATGGTCTGCAAACAGTGACCAACAATGTTCATCTGATAAATGATTTAGATAGTAAGGGGGACAAGTTTGGACTATTGAAGCTACCTTTTCACTACGAGTTGTTACAAGAATTTTACTTCCCCTCAATCCATACAAAAATGGTTTTATAAGACTACACCAACCATTGTAGTCATCATTCCAAACATCATCTAAAACAACAAAGAATTTTTTTCCTGTCAAGATTTTCTTCAAATCTAGTTGAAGTGAATTTAGATCCTTCATGTTACAAGCACGAAAGGTAACTGCCTCTATTAGTGTCTTTGTAACCTTAAAAACATCAAATTCCTCAGAAACACAAACCCAACCTTTCAATTCAAACTTGTTCATCAAATTCTCATCATTGTACATCAATTGGGCTAACGTGGTTTTCCCAACACCACCCATCCCCACAATAGGCATCACAGATATGTTGTCATCACTTCCATCATCTAACAACAATTTGACCATTGTCTCTCTGTCTTGATCTCTGCCATATACATTATACCCTTCTAACAAAGAAGTTGATGGAGCTCTCCATGAGAAGTGCTCCCTCCCAACCTCTTGCAAACCAAGAACATCTTTGTATTTTACAATATATTCTAGTTTGCTAGTGATGTCTTGTATCTTATTTGCCACCTTTCTGTCTCGCAAATTGAGAAAGATAGACAAAAAGTTGCTCACCTCATTTTGAGTGGCAGCAGCAGTAGAAACTTGGTCCAACAAATCATCTGCCACATAGACTGCATCTTTGAGATCATGGAGCCAGTTCTTCACAGCCGGGTCATTTATTTGTTTATGCTCTGCATCATTAACCACAGATTGAACGGCATACAGAGCAGACTTCAACCTTTCAAGCAAGTGTTGGTCAAGCTTCTTTCCCTGGATCAAGTTCACAAACTGAGGTGATGAGAGCCTGTCGAAAACCACCTCAAGAAAAGATGACAGAAAAGCTCCAACCACAACACCTTCTGCCATGATGTCCAAAAGTAAACGATGATCACTGGTCAGATTAATGGAATAGAGCCGAGAAAATGCTGAAATCAATCTTTCAAAGTAGAACAAAGCATGTGAATATTTATTTAACAGTAAGTTGACTATAAATTACATTGACTGCTATTTCATGTTCTCAACTTGATTTGGTGTGATCCAACGTAAATACAAAGACATGGTTAAGTTTTGAAAGATCATTTTTATCTAAGCTCGTAGGCCCCCCGGTCACATCAGAATGGTACGGGTCATGGAATTCTTAGCACCTATAACTGTCATGTTCATAATTCTATTCTGAAATATAGATCGACGACAAATATAAATTGGACAGTTTCAAACTTTTGAAATTTCTATGACCCAAAAGTCAAGACTCTATTAATCGAGTTTGACATGATGGGAAGTAACAAGTTATCTAAGTTCAAATAGAGTAGAGAGCCAAAACAATTTAGAACTTACAATCCCTAGCAAAGATTATTTGTACTAAATAAAGATATCACAACAGGCAACGACAGAAATAGGGATGATCAATTCAATTGAAGGTAAACAAGCAATAATCAAGTGAATAAGAAACTCGCAGTTACGGCGAGTACGACAATGAAACCAAGAACAATCAATTATACAGAAAAAAGTGGCATACAACCAAATCAATAAACTTTAATTATCATCGGAGGGATAATAATTTATACAACTACGTAAACCAAAACGATAACAATGGTTGAAGGAATAATCTAGTAAAAACACCATGGAAATTTCCATTATTACTGGAAGGGCATAAAAGGGTACAACCACAAACAGAGGAATTAATGCTAACTTCCATATTAAAATAGAAACCATCAAATCCAATGTTTGAAGATATTGAACAAATGTGGAATGCTTTGCAGTTTGCACTATGATTATGGCCAATTTGCTTAAAATTGAAAAAGTATTTCTTAAAAAAGTGTGTATTAGAAAAACAATTTTTTAAGGCAGAGATTTCAACATGCAATTTCGCAACAAGTATTAGGAATAAGACTAAGTTATAACTTTTAAAATAGGACCCTGTCCGTTGACGCAATATATTTTCACTAAATCTAAACTATTTTTTTTTTGACACATACTAAATCTAAACTATTAATATACGTTAAATATATGGTTTATATTATCTTAATATACACGGTAATTTTGATAAATTTTGTGACATTCAATTAGATAGCTCTAATGAAGAAATTAAATTGTCTAGTCTGATTTGATTTGATTGATTGTTTAATTGATTTAATTACATTCATTAATTATAAAATTATTAATAAATTAGTTCTATATAATTTTTTTGTTATATATATGTAATTATATTGTTTTTGACATATTTTTATAGCAATAAATTAATTTATTTTTTAAAACTATATTGAATAATTAAATCATTTGACTTAATTGTTTATTCTAACAATTATTTACATAAATTATTTATAGGTTAATTTGGTTTTTATAAATTTTCAATAATTAATGGTAAATATAAATATAATGGCACTAATTTTAACATATTTTTATGCTATTTAATTAGTTAATTTAATTTTTAATTAATCAATTAACTTATTTAAGAAGATAAATTAAACTTGAACGTTCACACATAATTAGAGCTAATCAGATGTATAGATAATGTAAGTGCAAAATATAACTTAGTTACAGACCAAAAGATTTTGCAAGAAAATAAATAAAACTCCAAACAAAAAGATATAAAGCATATGAAATATGTAAGGCAATTGTTCCCTCCTGAGCCTGATATTCATCCATGTGAGCTTCACAAATAGCAAGAATTCAAAGTCTTTACACTCCCTTAAATCTTACCAACTTTATTTAAGTTGCATACAGTAGCTATACTAATATATAAAAGAGATATTTTTTTTAATAAAATATATCTTTTTATTTATTTTTTTTTAAAAAAAAATAGTATTTTTAACCAAATTTAAGAACTTAAAATTAATAGATTAATTTTTACTTTTATTTTATATTTAATAGAGACACAAAGTGCCTTAACCTTATTAATAAGATATTATTTATTTAAAGTAAGTATTAGGAGTGTTACAATTTTAATTAATATTAATTTCATTTAAAATTAATTTTGCAAACAGTGATCCAAATACATAACTATAAAATGTAAATTATGTTTTTTTTTCTTTTGACGTGAAAATATCTAGCAGAAGTAAGAAAATAACAATTATTTATTCAGTTCCAGAATAAATTAAAAAAAAAAGTTACAAAATATGAATAAGGAAAAAAATGTTATAAAAGTGGTGGACCACAACAACTATGTTTATTTAGAAAATAAAAAACAAAAAAAAAAGTAATAGAAATTAGGTGATAGTGATTTGTACATGGACCAGTGATTTGTACATGGAGATTGAGTAGTTGTAGAGATACAATGGTCTTAAAAAAAAATGGAGACTAAAGTTATCCAAACTCTTGTGCCTTGATATATAATATAGATTTTTCAACAAAATTTATCTCTACAAAAATTCATTATCATTATAATCGACTAATGGAAAACAAGAAATGCCTCAATGTTTGTTTGGAAAATAAAAAACTGATATCTTAAAAAAAATAAAAAATAATAGTCGATGGTTTGTATTTGAAAATTAAGTAGTTTGAAGTAATTATATGGGTATAATAGTCTAAAAAATGTGGAGACAAAAAAGATGTTACAATCTCTTATTCTCTTTTTTTATTTTACCTAATTTTACAAGTACTCCAATAACGAGGGTGAAGTCCTCATTACTCCAATATCAACAACAATATGGTGACATATGTAAAGACATTCAAACGCTCAAATTAGAAGGGAGTCTACAGTAAGAGAAGAGTTAGGTTATAATGATACTTGATCCCCCATATATAAGTGGTTGATATTGTCCTTTGATTTTTGGATAATCTCGCATGATATGTTGGGGGTATATCCATGTGTTGTGGGGCTTCTAGAGATAGGATGTGAGAATTACTCCTTGATCATCACCTAAATTGCCTTCTGGTTTTCATGCAATAAGCTAACAAGGCTACTCAACCAGGCCAAGCTTATTGTGAACTCAACTCGGCTTATCCGAGTTAGGTGGTACATAAGTCCCTCCAATTCCAAGCTTTGCAAGAGTGAAGGAATTATTAACGTGCTTGCTTTGGGTTCTTTAGTGGTTGAGTGATGCAGCTATTGGCATATGGCATACACCTTGAACAATTTGCCTACATGCTTTAAAGAGTAATGATTGGCATTTTCATGGTTAGGTTTGGGTCGTATGTTAGGCACTATATTTGAACTTGGGTCGCTAATTTAGATAGAGAAGGGCTAGCAGTTATGCCTTTTGTTTTAAGAGTGACTTTTATGGACTATTCATTTTATCACTTTTATTGTATTTTGTTTTGGGTTTGTTGATTGTCTTCACTTAGTGCTAACTTTCCAATTGTTGCTCTAGTTTTTTGTCACGTGCTAGTTGATTACCATTTTAAGTATCCTTCTTCCCTTTCATTGCCTTTTAGTTCTTTTGTTTATGTTGTATTCATGTGTGTATGTGTGAATGGGGAAAAGACATTTAGTATTGTCCTCTTAGGATAATGATTCTTTCGACACCATGATGAGATTGCCTAACGACAATGTTTTCACTACTGTCCATGAAAAGACACTTGGTGTGGGTGGTGTAAGGGTTCCTATTGTTGGAGTGGCTTAACAAGTAGTGATGGTAGAGCTCATTTCTGTTAGGGTTGAAGATGTTACAGAGTTGTTGCTAGAGGAATCGGACAATGATAAAGGTGTGGGACTTTTGGATAGAGAGGGCTAGGAGTGGGTGAAATGTGAAGTGGATTGGTACAAAATTCAATTGTATATGGTGGCACTACTTGACAAATATGCCTTGTTTAAGCCTTACGATTCTCATTTGTTTGTTGTTCGTCCTTGTGTTGAGGGTGACCATGTATATTTGGGCAAGGAGATGTATCCTCACTCGTTCATGTATATGTATTATCGTGTCCTTCGGGATATTAGGGTTACTTTGTCATTTAGTGCTTTTGAATGTGTGTTTCTAAGATAGACGAATGTTGTCCCTAGTGAATTTTAGTCAAATAGTTGGCATTTCTCATAGCCTTTCAAGAGTTGTACATGTATGTTAGAATAGATTCGACCTTTGCTAAGTTCATGTACTTTTATCAAATAAAGTGAGCCCACCTATAGGCTAGATTTCATTGAACAGGTGGAGTAAAAGGGGTTTGTTTAGCTCATTTGCCCAGTCGTTCAATGGTTTTAAGAGTGATTATGTCCACATAGAGGTGACAAATGGACATGAGATAGGAAATTCCATCAAGGGTCAGATGGGGTGGCTAAGTTTCCCTGGAATTAGAGGGAAAATCCCCGTATGTTCAACAGTGATGGAAAAATGGGGATTACAAAGGTCGAGTTCAGTGAGTGTCTGGAGTTGGTGAAGCTACTCTATCCTTTGGATGTGAAGGTTGTGCTAATGTTGTTGAGCACTATTAATCTTGATCAAGCTTTGTAAGGGACTTATGTTAGGTTTTTTTTACCTATTTTCTTTTATTGGTTGTTGTCTCTCGTGTTGTGTTGATATAATGTTAGTTTTTGGGTAGCTTTGATGGGGGAAGAGTATACGGAAATAATTAAAGGCTAAGTTCAAGGTGGATGACGACAAACAGAGGCCTACAAGGGTTCAATGACTAAGGGTTGTGGTTGGATGGAGAAGGAGGTTGTGGTGCCTCCTTTGGTTATTAAACAAAAAAATTTCATTGTTCCGAGGATTAATGGTTATCTTCTATCTCAATCCCCCAAAAGTTGACTCAACTGGGGTGAGCAGATTTGTTGGTTTTGTTGTGCAGAGGATGGAGTCTCCTCTTGTGAAAAAGCCAAAAGTAGAGAGTTTGGCTCAAGGATAGAGGGTTATAAAAAGTGTGGAAACAAAGGGCATGAGGGTTGTCACTCAAGGGGCTGAGAAGGATATCATCATTAAGGAGGAGAAAATGACCAATGGTGCGTCAAAGCCAATAG